GATCTGACACAAATTTATGATAGGATGATCTTTTTGAAGAGAAGTTTGGTAATATGTGATTGCTTGTAACTATGAAAAATGGGAAAATGCTCTAAGACGGAAGGTTCTGTCCAAGAATGGCAATATCGATTTACTCTTCAATCAGAGTTTTAACAAGGCGGAAAAAAAATAACTAAGTAATCCAAATGAGGATAATGAGCCATTTAAGATTTTGAAAAGTAAAAGATCATATTATGGATAAAAAATTTCAGTCTGTTTTTGATATTGTTATTTCTTCCATTATTATCAGAAATTCATTTCATTGTTATCAAAATATATGAAAAAATATTTCTTTATTATCAAAATATCTGCTAAAATTACATATACAAACATGAAAATGTGTTCTGAGGCTTCAACTTTTGCTTTTATGTGAATATAAATAGAATAAATGTGAATATAGATAGAATAAATACAAGTACATATTGATACATTAATATCTGGCAGTTTATGTCATTATGAACAAGAAATCATTTTTCTCGGAATCAGATCAGAGGCTTGAAAACGGTTTACTGTGGAAGGAAATGAGTATAGGAATTTGGAGGATGCTGGAAGAGACATTCCAGTATTTCCGATTTATCTTTTAATAACTGCCTTTGATTTTTTACTTTTCTTCGATTGTTTGCTTACTTTCCCCAAGCAAATTATAATATTACTGTCACATGGAATAGTACAGAATTATATCATTTGCCTTTTTTTTTACGCATTACAATTTTACTTGTAATTAACCGTTAATTTGAAAATTGAAATGATAAAACTAATATTTCAATTTCAGTACTAACATTAGCTGAAATATAATTCTGTCCACTTTCAATGTCAACAAATACTGCAAACAATTGTTTGGTTATTTGAAGGGTCAACAGAAGGATCGAAAAATGAGATTGTAATGAATGCACAATCGGTAACTATTGTTGTTTTCAGCTGCTATCGTAAGTATTTCGACTCAATTTTCGAACTCAGTTTAATTAGAACCATGAAGAGATGAGCAGGACATTTTAAATATGAACTAAGTATCAGGTCAAATTAGCATTGATTGAATGAAATTACCAAGTAATATCGGCTTAGTAAAAACACTCAGATAAAAAGAATTCGATTTAATCTGAAATCGATTAATTCGAAACTTATAAACTTGACATTTTCTACTTATCGCTCAAAATCCATTCATTTCTTCATTGTTAACGTGGGAAAAGTTTCTTCACAGAGCATTCATATTTTAATAACAATATTTGCTATCAGTTCATCGCTTCCGGAACAGTATATCGGCAAATGTCCACTAATTTCAATTTTAAATTCCGATACTCTGTCATCTTTGTTCTTTCTGTTCAATTTAATTCGATATTTACCTCAAATACAATAAAATTAAAGTGGCAGACATTGTAAAGTCTCTTCATTCATTTCGATATTTTTTAATAAACTTTTCTTAGATTTTTCATGTTTTTGAATGCAGCAATTTTAACATTTATCTTTTATCATATTCACAAACTTACTTATTGTTGGCAAAATAATCATTTGTAAAAAATAATTTCAGGAATTTCAGCCTAGCTGACAATTATGATGAGCAATTCAAATTTAACTAAATTAGAAATTAAACTAATGAAAAACTAATAAAGATGTATGAGAATAAGTCAAATCTATTTTAAAAGCTTTCTTTTGAGCTCTTCTTTGCCAGTTTCTCTGGGAGAAATATCGACATTGCTTTCATGAAATATCACAACAATGAAACCTCCAATTCCGATTATATTAAATTGACGATTGGTATCTGTCGGTTATTTTTTGCTCGATCTGTTCGCGTTAAAATCTGATTTCTTTCCAACTACATTCCCGAATTGTAGTGAAAATTGACAATTTTCCTGACACATCTCATTTCTGGTAGCTCTCATAGAACAGCAAATGATAGCGACGGTCTTTTACACACACAGCTACTGCACTAAATGTTGCCAAATTTGTGAAGCTAAAAAAATTTTGTTTCGCATTGGAATTTTTATTTATTTCATTATGTAACAATTTCTTCGTTAGCAACATACTGTTGAAACTGCAAATATTTATGAAACAAATAACTTTTATTAAAAATGCTTTAAAAATTCAGAAAAAAAGAATTTATTAGACTGTCAAAGTGCGTTACTATTCGAACAAGAAAAGCCATCAATTTTCTTTCTTGTATGAATTATTTACAAACTAAAAAACAACGTTCTTTTCATAGCAGTTGTTAAACTCTGTAAGTGCAATCAAGACTTTTTCCATCTGAGTCATTAATCTCAGATGAAAAAAGTTTTCAACTTTTATCAACGTCATTCTTCATATTAGTTAGCCTTTATGCTTATCAATTTATCATTATTCTTTGATAAAGAATTCTATTAGGATTATTTACTATTCCTGTTACATGAAAGATGTGGCTTCCTGTGTTACAACAGTTTTTACAGATGCTGCTAAGAATAATGCACATAATTAATCATAAATTAGCACAAAATTTTCTATCATAAATATAATTAAAATTTGGAACAAATCAGAAGATAAAATAAAAAATTATTTTTGCAAAAAGCAATCCTTTCTTAGCTATTAATTTTTCATTGTTATCTGTAATTTTTTTCTTTTGATTTTCAACTGCATGTTTATTTATAATTCAAAATTATTAATTTAAAATAACAAGTAACATTAATTGAACAAATTAATTGAACAAATCCATTTTTTTTCAATCATTTTTTTGCAGCATTGATAAGTTGAATTTTTTTCTTTTGCATTAATCTGAAAAATTCATACATTTTCATCATTATTGTTCAAAATCGTTTTCATTGTATTTCCCAATTAAAGTGTATAAACTTTTTACTTTCTTCAAAAAAAGGAACAATGTTAACTTCTAACAAACGGATGAGTTTTTAGAAAATTGAGCGTTAAAATTTTGTTGTATTGAGACGCTTTTATCAATAACGAACTAGTAGGTGAATATAAATACTATTTTGTGGCATTTATGAAATCATTTGGGGCCAATATGCTATATCGATGCTAAAATGTGATAAATTCCCACTCATTGTTTACATTTCAATCATTTTACAAAAAAGAGAAGTGATAAGACAGGATAAGTGAACAACGAGAAGGAAAAAGAAAAGAAATGAGAGACTGAAGGAAAACAGAATCAACCATATAGTTTGAAATGTTTTTCTGGATCGAATGGATGAGGAACAGCTGCGTCAGCTTATCTCTTCCCTATGTATTCTATCAAAAGAAGGATCTATTCCATGTAATTCTTTCTTATCTATTTCAGGATTATTATTGATTATAATCTATTTCATATAAATTTGAATAATTTAAAATCATTATTTTTTTCTATCAGTCAATATCTATCCTGCAAGATATAGATAAACGCTTTGGCATTAAAAACGGAAGACAAAAATATTCATGATTATATTTTAGAATGATTTTTCCTTATAATTTTTAAGTCAGATGTTTGTAGACCAGATATCAAATTATTCTTCAATATATGATCTCACATATGAGTAATATGGCCCAAGTTCCGGACCGGAAAATATCGGAGTCATGTTTGTTGGAGTATTAGATAAAGTAGAGAGAGGCAGATCATATTTACAGTTATACTTCCAGAATTGAAGTTAAAAGTTATAATTGGAAGTTCTTACTCTTGATGCTAGCAACTGAAAAATTTCCTAATTTCCAAACACATCACTGATTTTACTTCATTTTAATAATTTCTTAAATTTTAAATAACATTAAATAGAAGATAATTTTATTTGAAAAAATAATTAGTTGAGAATTTGTTGCAGTGAATACAATCAGTGTACTGGTCAGTTCAGCACCATGCAAGAAACTGGCTTATCATTTACATCAGCGTTGGCTATCGGAGCAAAATTTCACAAGAATTGCTGCACATATCATTTTGCAGCGCCAGCATGTAATTCCTTCACTCATAAAAATTTGGATTTCAATTAATTTATGTTATAAATTAAAACAAGATATAAAATTGATTATCGCTAAGAGAGAAGCACGACGTTATTGAATATTTTTTCTCTTTCCCTAAAACTCATTCGGAATAAAAAAAAGTTTATTTTTAGATGCATGAGACAGATCTTGGTTTATTCTCCTGCTGCTTGACACATATTTTATTAGATTTTCGATTCAGGCATCAAATCAGGAAAGGGAATAAACTCGTTTTCAGTTAAGTTTTCTAACATTAATTGTTCATCAGTTAGTCAACAATTTTCTCAGAAAGCAGAAGTAAATTAATTGCAGAAATATTGTTCGAGCGATATTAGACTTTTACCCTGTGTATCGAGAAATCGATGCAACAGTAAGTGAATGCTTAGTTGACCCAATGTTTACTTCATTGGAAGAACTAATTAACGATGATCCGGACGAAAGAGATATTGAGGTATGTTACATTATTTGATAATTGTAGAAAGTGAATTCAATTATTGTACATTAAAAAATACTGAACTTTTACTTATAACGAAAACAAGCAAAATTTCAGACTGCTGCAGAACTAATCACGAGTCATGGCAACACATTACTGAAGATCAGACCTGGCAAATGTGATAATTTTATCGTTGCATTACGGACACATCTTTGTGAGGGCGATTTCAAACCTGCAACTCGACGACTGATATTGCAGGTTCGTACATGCATTACAGACAAAGCGCAAAAATCAAGTTCATAGATTTTGAAAATCAAAGAGGATAATTATATGAATGAATTGATCCATTCAGAAAAACAAACTGGACACTATACTGCCGCTAGTGTCGTGAAAAACTTTGATTAGTTTTCACTTCACAAGCAAAGATTGTTACGAAGATTTATTCTCCAAAGAAGTTAGCAAAAAAAGCAGTTAGTAATACGATATGGCAATTACAATGACGAAGATTTTTTGATTATTGAGATTGAAATAATCGTTTTTAAGTTTGAATGGGATCTGATAAAGAATTGGTTGACTCTCACCCACGATCAGTAAGTAATCGCGGAGCTCAGTGATGGATGTGACTATTGAAATGCACCTTGGACTGACTCCAAAAGCAATGAGTTATATATATATATATATACCCCTATACCCCCTTATTGGACAGTGCTTGGTGGGCACATGATGTAGTGGAATTTGCTATTTGAACAAAGAAATCAAGTCATTTAATGGATGAACAAAGGATATGTAAATCGTCCAGACATACGAAAGGGACAAGGCTGATAGCAAAACATTTATACATATAATAAATAAAACTAGTGGTTGACTAGTGGTCATTCGGTTGTTTATACAAATTTATTACATTTTTCGGCTTTCGCCGACAGCTAGATTTTCGTAATACCAGAATTTTATTAAATTCATATAAAAATATATTACAGAAAACAAATGTTATGTGGAATGTTTGGTTAAAATATCCGCATACAACGCATTCTGAGGTAGATGCTAAACTTCGTAAACGTTTTGATATTAATTTAAGTAAAACTTTATCAGTTTTTCAGGCCATTGATTCCTGGACTTATAGATGGGACAATGAAATAATGCCTTTCTGTATCAAACAATTCTATGAATCGTCAATAAATTTCATCGAAAATCCCGTAGAAACATCAAAAACGCTATCAGAAAGCAGATCAAAAAGGAAGGAAAGTATTGTGTAGATGGATATTATTGTAGAAAAGAAATTAGTAAATGTTCAACCAATATTTACTTAAACAATGCTACTTTACCAGCTATGCATGCGATTAATGCGTCACAATAAAACTTTTGATGAACTTTAGGCACTTCATATTTTTCTTTGAAATTTTTACTTTAGTTTACCTTCATAATTACAAATGCTTCAAGGTAACGCAAAAGTCCATATGAACGTAAACAGATATATAAGAAGCACTTCGAACGTAATTCGTAAAGTTGAGATCAGCTCCAAATGAAATTACAGATAATCACAAACAACTCACAAAGTACTTTCCTGTCAAATATCATCACTGTCTACAGATTTCCCGTAGTACGGGGGTACGTCAAGCCATGCATCATCAAATTCAATTTTTTCGGTGATTATACGAATTATCCTTGATGAGCCAAAAAAGTCAGTTACTCGAACTTTCGTCGGATCCTGAACTATATCTTATTTCCAAATAATATTTTTGAATCAGTCGAACTTCACAGAATATAAAAAATAAAAATACACCAACAAAATTTTATATATGTGCGAGATGCATGTCTCAATTAAATCTAAACTAGTCCAGTACTCATCATTGGCTTAGCGACCAGAACATTTTTTGTATTGGAATTTATTAAAGTAATGAACCATAAGAAAGTACATACTTTCGGATATAAATCCGTACGTACACCAACTGTTGAAAGACATTTCGACTTTGGACAAGAATCAAAGTAATCACTCATAGATCTGTTTGTCAATAACGACTTGACCTCATTTTCAAGAAATTCAAGCGTGAATTGCGTATATCGATCTATGATGTATACACCAATAGATCTAAAACATTAACGGCTAAAGAACAAACTGTCTCTGATTGATTTGAAAAAAGAATTTCTCCAGGTCTTGCTAATTAGATAAAGGAAAAACTAAGAAAATACAATTTACAATAAAGAGTGAAATTCGAACTTACTGATCAACATCATATGAAAGGGAATCCTCGCCCACGAGAGAGCTGCTTGTTGCAAGTACATTTGGGCTGTATATTTTTTGATACATCGATTCACTTTGACACGTGTCTGCTATCACAAGCATTTCATTATATCTATAATATTGATGTTGACCAATTACCCTTTCCTCACCAAGCTAGCACTATAACCTCCTCAATATCATTTGTCCTCAACACTTTTTAAACAATATATCGAGAAAATTTTCCCCAAAATATTGTGTTCCAAAAAGTGGACCTATTGCCTTGATACATAGTTTCGATGGCGTCTGCCAAATCAACATTGGTCAGTTCTTCAGAATCCTGGAATTTCAAGAAGCCATCACCACCATGTCCAGTAAGGTAAATCAGGACATTACTTTGGTGATCTGAAAGAAGACGTTTCGAGCGTGGTGTAGCTGGATGGACTCTTCCCGTCATAAGACGCACGAAATTTTCAACTGATACCTGAAATAGCAGATTAAATTTTAAGATACTTCATAGATTTTACTCAACATGAAAAACTGAAACGAAAAGTGAATTTTGTACCTCATACCCACGGTAGTCCACTTCAACTTCAACACCATACAGATTGATACGTTCATATTTACTGTTGTATACTGTACCTTAAAACATCAATCTAATATCTCGAAGAATTGACTAACTACTAAAAGTCAAAATGAATGAATCAGTAAATTAAAGATGCTAACCAGGTTTCGGATTCCTGGCGTTGCATGGCATGTCATCAGCTAACATAAGTATAATATTGCTGGAATGAAAACTCTGAAGTTATATTTCAAAAGAGATGTGTGCCCAAATTTTCAATTCAAGAAGAAAAAAATATACCCAAATTTCTAAACTTGAGTTATTGTACCGTTCACCTTTAGTGCTGTCTTCTTCTCTTCTAATTTTTCCTCTACAATGGCATAAATTGAAATTCCATTAAAAGTGAAATCCCATCGATTACATGCCATATAAAAGATGCAAAAAGGAATAAAAGAGAACTCTTCATTCTTTACTCTCAGTAAACAGTATAAGCTACAAAATTTTCGCTAACGATTTCGCTAGGTGGGAAAAAAACTAATATGTGATGAAGATGAAGCAGTTAACTTTTTAACTATTCCTTTCGCATTTTTATATCATCACTAATCATTGGGAACATATCATGCAAAAGAGTTTAAAAGTTTAAAAGGAAGTAACAAAACACCAACCTATCAGGAATTCCAAGTCTTTTTACTGAATGGTATAATGACAAAACATTAGCAACATGACGGTAATTAAACCAAAACCGTGATGTACAAACTAATATTGCCCAGTTATTGGTGTGTCCTGGAGTTTCGAAGAATGACTGAACACGTCTCTGTAAGCCTTTTTGCTGTTGTGTTGCAGCAACTGTCGAAACAGTAATAATAATTATTAAAGGTAACATCTGGAATAGAATCAACTTATCAGTAGAAAGATTCACAAACTCGAACAATGAATTTAAATTCCATTGGGTGATTGAGTCAACCAATTAATACAAACAAAAGAAATAGGAAGTTTAAATGCCTCATGAAGACGTTGAGAAAGAGTTAAATTGTGTCAAGTTAAATCCTTCAATAGCAACTCTTGTATATGATAATAAGAAAGTTATGATGATACTAACTTATCAATAAAAAAAAGGACGCAATTACTTTACTTGGTTCAAATGTGAATAACAATGAATTCTGCTTGCAAAAACACTTTGCAACAAATCGGGATTTAAATCTGATTTCTGGTTCCGTCATTAATAAAGTGAGATATAATAGAGCGCTATCCTCAAATACAGAGTATCTTATTCATTCCTTTTTGCTTTTCAAATTAACAAAGAACTTTGATTTCGAGGATCTATTTTGAAAACTACAGAATTGAAAACTACAATTTGAAAAGATTCTATCATGCATCATACAGTGAATTCCAGTCCCAAAAATGTTAGTGTCACACCGTCTGAATTCATCCTCATCAGTAGTCTAAAGCTGGCCAGGTATTCTCAGAAAATGAATACACTTCATGAATATGTCATGGCATGTATTCATTTTTGCGTATCAAACTACAAATATGCATTAGAGTTGCCTAATACATTGATCCATGAAGGTCTTACAATTTTCTTACGACATAGCTTCACTGCTGTGCATCTAATTCATTACAGTAGATATAAGAATTTTCCAATAAGCGAGAACTGAATCGCAAAATGTTTTTCAATTCAAACTACATTAAATTTTATCATTGATGGTCAACATAATTCAATATGATTTGTATTACAGCAACTTTCATAAGTTCCAATTCGTGTGAACCACTCTATTTGACGAGAATTTAAAACCCCTCCAAATTGTAAAAAAATTCCAAAAAATCTACTTTGATTATTCATTACGTTTTGAATTTTAATTTTAAAATAAAACATAATTTGTTTACTCAACAATAATTCAAAAATCTTGAATTCAACAATAAAATTCTCTTATAACATATAAGCAGTTTAGCAAACAATAAAACGGAATAAAAATTATGAATTACAAAAGCAACAACGAAATCACTTAACCAATGCTTTGAATCAATGTGATATTATCACCTTTCAGCATGATTCGACCAACCTTATTGCGATTTTTCGTCTTCATATTTACTTCTTCTGCTTCATCAAGCACAACGTTCATATATTCATCAAAACCTGAATAAAAATATGTAAGAATTATACGTTTCTCTCGCTCTTACACAAAAAACAATTTTAATCTCAAATTTTTGAAAAAGGAAATATTAAATATTAGATAATCCTCTTTGATTGTACATACAGTTAAACACATATCTAGAACATAAGTAGAACTCTAAAGATCAACTGTTATTGTAATGAAGTCTACACTTAGTATAATACTGTATGTACAATGTGCATGTGAAATTATCACCTAAATAACTAGTATAATAACAATGATACAGAAATTTCCAGGTCCCCCTACTATATCTAACTTAAAAATAGGTAATAATCTCATGACTGTCACATATATCACAAATGCGAAGGAGAAATTAATGCAATATTCGATGTCCTTTGAATATCTTAGAAAAAGAAAAGGAAAATAAGAATTCAGAAAATCCAAATATTCCTCAGAAGAAAGGCAATCAATAAATAAATTACCAATGATATATCCTTCGATCCTGTGAGTGATATCCTCGTAGAGCCATATTTGTATGCGTGATCGATTTTGCAAATATCGGAAAATCAAATTGATGGGTTGAACCATCACCTTCTGTACCTTACCACTTCTGGTTGCCATTTTAAGTAAAAATATTAGGCAAAGGTTAAAGGTCAAAAGTGCAGGCAAAATAACCGCTACAAAGTCAACAGGGAAATTGCAATTTCAAGATACCACTGAACTTTCAAACGCTGCTCTATTAATGTGTCAACTTTTCACGCCCAAAATGCAAATGTTTCGGTTCAATCTGACGAATTGTTGGTGGAAGATCAAAGAAGTTTATAGTTTTCAGTAGTTTTTATTTGAGTGATTTTTGTGTAAGTCGAGCAGATTTGAAAAAAGTTGAAGTGTTAAATATTTGTGACACTTTGGAACTGTGCTTGTGGTAGCTTGGGAGGAATTCTCGATTATGACTATTTGTTATTGTGATAAACTTGGTTGTTTTAAGTTTTACATATTAAAGTCAACATCAACATCATTGGTTTTTTCTTTGATGTAATTAAATGCGTTTGCTTCGGGTAAGAAGCATCTATTCATTTAATTTGATCTTTAAAATTTAAAAATAAAATCCGCTTAATTTATTGTATGGAAACTTCAAGGATGACGCTTAATGGAATTAACAATAATGAAGGAAGTATGGCTGCTTTAGACCGTTATGTTGCTCCTGGTTTGCGACTTTGGATGCTTGTCGCTCTGGTGTCTGGAGTATTACTAATTATGGGTATATTTTTATTTGTTTGTATATACTTCTTTTTTACTTTTGATCATTGATTGTATCCGAAACGATAATTCAAGTTTTGTGTTTTTGTGACTAGCCAAATGTTAGATGAAGATGGATTAATCGAGGTGAGAGATAACATTATTAATAGCTGATCTAAATAGAATGTTGATACATTTTTGTGAAATACTATTGTCGAGAGGAAAATACTGCAGTCTTGAACTGATATAATGCGTTGACATCGAAATAATGCGGCATTTTCTTCTCGATAATGGTATTCCACAAAAATGTTTCTATTTGATTTATGTTGTAGACTCCTTACTGTTTTGAATTTCAGTGGTGATCGTTTGTTGCTTCATGCGAATCCGAATACCCCGTACGAAGCGACAAATTGATTTAATCGCTGCAAGAAGGAAAATGCGAAAATCGACTTTATCTGCTGAACATTCACCAGGTCATCCGTTGATATTTTCGTCCGAAAATATTTTTATATTTATATTATTCTTTACTTCAAATCGTATGGTGTATGGCGACTTGCCATCTCGGATTTATGCGTTTGGTTGATTGAAAGTTAATGTTTTTGAAAAAATTATGTATCATTTTTAGCTAGTGTAACGAGGCTCAGAATGCCGTCAACTTGGGTATCTTTTAAGCAACATCAAGCAGACGGTAGCTGAATATATGCATTTGTCGTTCTTTTTATTGTTTTTATATTTGTAGACGAAAAAACACAACCAATCGTAATGAATACAGCGAAACAATCGATTCATCAGAAAGGAGGTAGTCGTCGGGAACACGAAGACGATACCACTGAATCTGTACCTCTTGTGCATAAGGTTCCAACACATGCTACTACCACGGTTTAAACTTCATGCCATGTTTAGCCGACAAAATCAAGTGCTTTCACTATTTTTGTGCAAAGCATATCTATTGAATTGCAGTATTTCTCTCAACATAATTGATACATAAGCACATTTGGTTAAAAGAAAATAATTAAAACCTGTGAAAGTTATATTCAAAGGATATTTATTGCATTCTAAAATTTTCGATGCATTATATTTAGAATAGCCTAGTCCCATATGGCATTTTTGTGCATCAGCCTCTTCCAAAAAATAAGATTGTTTAATCTACCGCTAATTTAGTTGCGTTTGGATTCTATTAATTAGAGTGAAAACATATTTCATGTGCTACAGTGGGAGTAACTCGTAGTTTTAGCCAACGTAATCGACAAAAATATGAGTTCTATTGGGTATATGATAAATAAAATTAATGGGGATTGATACTTTCCATCAAATTGGTAAAAGTTACTAGAGTATTATTAAAATAGTTTAGTAACTAAAATTTACTATACTCCGTGTGTTACTGAAATTTTAAAGCAAATTTGAAGGCATATATAGCCAATCTTTTAATGTTGCTTTTCATATTCATTCTTTCAAATTGTTGCTTTTTAAAAAAACGGAATTACTGCAGCCAAACAGAAATTTCTTTATTCCCTTTTTTTTCCATCTAATTTCTTGCCTTTTTTAAATCTTCGACTTGAATATCAAGTCTGTTGCCTTTTTTGTTGCCATCATTGTTAATTGTTTGTTGTTGATAAGCTTTAAAGCCTTTTTTTGCTTTCAGTCAGTTATCTCTAGTCATAATCATGTTATGTCTTTTCACCATTATACGGCTAATATTATTTCTTTTTATCGGAATTATGCATTTATTGTATGCAGCACCTAGTTTTACTTTTTACATGTTGTCTAATTTCTAAATGAATAAATTATTTCTTCAACATTTTTTCGCTGTTAACACAGTATATGTTATCACATATTTCTTACATTTCAAAAATTAAAGTATATAATGCATCAGTTAAAGCACATCGATTTGGATTTCTATTCTGCTTGAGTGAGTTGTAGTGAGTTTGTAGTGAGTTTGTGAGTTTTGTAATGAGTTTCAAGTAAAAATGTTCTTCATTCTTTGAATCTTGACTTAGCCACTAACATCTTTTTTGTGTTAGTGACTAGGTCAGTAATTTATCATTGGCCTTAATCTCTTTATAAATAAGCCATATTCTGGAATATTTCACTTCAATATGAAGAATGTAATGAGATTCTTTATAATTTACATGAACTTAATTGTAGATAAAATGTTAATTGCATGAGTGAAATGGAAGCTGACAAACGAGAACTTTTCATTGAAGGCATAACAAATGAGCAGCAAAAACGAGGGTGGTTGAAGACCCAAACAAAAAATGTGGTTTTATTGCAAGCTATGGGAAGAGGTATACTGGCGAGGAAAAGATTTGCTAGTTCAGTGAGGTGCATAATAATTTTATCACCAATCCTTGATAAATAATTACTTTGTTACATCATTATTAATCACTTTGCGGCGTATATGATACGATGTTATAATCATAAAAGAATGAATTTCCACTTATTTGCTATGCAATTTAAAGTTTTTCAGTATGTTTTGTTAAAAAGTAAGTTAAGCTAGATCAATCAATATGCATATGAAAGGCTTGTTGAAAATTTTTAGAACTTGATTTTTGGATATAGCTAGATATGGATGCAAAAATAATTGGAAACTTGCGATTATATTTTTCAGAAGAAATTTTGATCATCTATTCGGTGCTTTTGTAAATATGGAGAAAGAAAAAGAGCCAGCTGATTGCAAGGATGTGTTGCGGTTAGGTCGGCTACTCGTTCGGATTTTTGAACAATCATGCGATAACCAGGTAAACTTTTGATTATTGTTGAGATTTAATTTTACATTTAACTTTGACAAATTGACAAGATCTAATGCTTTCATGATGAAATTCCATCGTCGATATTTCACTTCTTAGCTGCGGATAAATTTAAGAAGATGATAATTTGACGTATAATTTATTGCACTTGCTGTGATACACTTTATTTGACCTCACACTTTCCTACTTGTGAGAAATTTGTTCTACTTCGTTACATTGATTTTCTCAGCAGCTACTTTTTCTGCATCAGATTTATGAACCAAATATACGTTATTGAGTTATTTGTTTTCAAATTGAGCTTGTTTTTAGCGGCTTTGTCAGTTGTGTCGTTGTATGATATTAAGCATGTCGTCATATAATGTTCATAAATCATTTGCTTCTCTTTTGTTATCCAAAAACCATCTTCAAGCAGCGAATCGCTTCATTATCTCTGTATACTCATTGATCGCTTTGGTCACTGAAAAACTTCAGGTCAGGTTTGAGAATTCCTCACGTGCTTATTTACTGTCGAATGCTTCATGCATAAATCTCTTTGTAATCACTGGTAATGACACAGTTCTGTCTACATGAGAAAATTGTAATTTTCAAACTGTAAATACCATACAATTCGTTTCCCTGGACTCCTTTTAAATAAATCATCATTTATTGGCCTATGTTTTGATGAAAGTAATTTAAAAAAGACAGTTAAGTTATTTAATTTGTTATGCATTTCAGGTTGAAAAGATATCAGATGGAAAAGCAATATCATTGTTTATCCATTTTTTAATCACATTTTCAAGCGCTAATAGTTGGGCTTTTGTGCAGAATAATGCCGAAATTTGCTGCGTTTTAAATCAGTTAGGTAATAAAGCTCTCAATGCAACAATTGGTGAAGAGTTACGATACATTCAATTTTCGGTTCGTCAAAATTTTCGTATGATAGAAAATTTGGAGCTATGAAGAAATTGATATTTAATTTTTAGATTTCTTCCCATTGTCATGAAACTTTATGAGGTCTTTGATTTTTCTCTTAATCAAACATTATCTTAAATTACTTTTAAGCAACTACTGAACAGAATAATATCGAGTGGAAGACTTGCGCTCGGTGCTAGTGCCTTTAATGGGCTCTTCAATATATTGTTCAGGTAGTATATTATTTCATTTTCTGTGTCTGTACCACCATTTTGTGGATAAAAAAGTCAGGTCTTATTTTTTCAGAATACTGAAAAACTGTGATTTCGATTTTCATATATTCAGTTTATTTGTGGAATATTGCCTTACTTCTCCGGCTTTACTCACTCATCTCTCTGCAGCTGTACGTCCGCTTTATTTGAAGTATACTAAGCTAGTATACTAACGGTTTTACTGTTTAAAATGATTTAAAAAAATTCTTACAGAATATTGATTTGCTGGTGGAGAATAAAATGTTTGAGAAGGCCATAACTGTTCTAACGACGAATCTAGATCTGCCGAATAATTTGGGTGGTAATAGAAGCTTATTTTTACTTGCCAATCTAATCCATTTGAGCTATCTTGATCAGCACGTATGTTTTCTTGAAAATCATTGACAGTATTGCGCTCTTCTACGAAACGATTAGTAGTTACTGTTTCCTAATAATTATTGTCGTAGTACTAGATCTTATTTTTTGTCTTATGTCGATATGGTATTTAATCGTTGAAAAATTGAGTATTGTACTCATTGTGATAAATATATCCATAGTATTTAACAGAGAAGCTATTACCAAAAATGTTTTGTTTCATTGTCCAATACAGAAAATACTTTTTCATATATTGTTTTGTAGTTTATTTTTATTTAATAATTTTTCAGAGCTTAGTGGAATATTTGATTGATTGGACAGATGTGATGAATAAAATGTTGACAAGATGTGATCGGCTTGTTGCAAAGAAGAAAAGCAGTCGTAGCCACTGGCATCCTATCTTTGGATGGTATTCGGAGCCACTGGACCGAAGGTGTTTTAAAATTTGGGTTGCTGATTCCTTTAGTCTGAATTTGTATGACTTTATACTTCATTTTTTTGATGGTGGAGCTCGTTGTATAATCGTATAATTAAAAAATATTTAATTTTCAAAAGTTCAATAAATGAAATGAATTGCAGCACGGAAGGTTCTGTGCCTCTTGTTGTACGTCAGCTGCAGTATTTGTGGTCAAAACCAATAGTAGCGTGCTTATTTGGTCAAGTATTACATTGCGATCCGGAAAAGCAGTCATATCGTACATCCCAATCATCAGCTGTCGTACAAAATGATCTTGCGACATCAATTCAAAGTAAAGTGCTTTATTGTGTGAAATCGTGAGTAGATTCAGTTTATCAAATAGTTATTTACGTACTGAATTGAAGAATATAATTGTTCAGAACTTTGGAAAAAATTGAATATAATTCGTGCAGAAACGCAAGAAAATGAGATCTCCCAAAAACTGCCGACGTTATCAATGACTGCAGTTGTATGCCAGCTTTATCAAAATGCTTTACTTACATTAAATTCACTGCATACCGATATATTGTCTGGTAAAAGTTTTATTGGAATCAATAAAATTTATGCAAAAATGAGACAATATATTTATAACAAAAGATGTCCATCTTGTGTAAGCGTATTATGAATAAAAAATTCTGAAGATATTTGTGGTTCAGAAACACAATTTGATTTGGTGAAGTTTAGGTTTGTGCCGAGAAGACTTCCTTCTTCCACTTTTATGGGAACATATTGTTAACTTATCGCCGACTGACAATGGATTATCTCATATAATTGCACTGGTCACTTCGCATTCATCAAAAATTACTCATCTTGCCCCAATTATCCTATTTGCTAATTGTGCTACTTCGGTCATTTCGTAAGTTTAATAGGACAATATCTCATAACATTGGGAAAGCGATTGAAGATGCTATCATCTTGCAATTTTTGAATAAACACAGACTAGAACTGTCAAATAATTATTTGATTCCTCATTTTAGAATCCTTGACGAAGAAGAAATGTATGAGCGGGGCGGTCCATTCACTCTTGACCAATTATGTGCTATTGCCAAATTTTGCAATTTGTTTTGTTTCCGTGTGATTTGGAACTCGTATCTTGGTTGGTGTATATTTTGTATATATCGTTATTCATCAGTAGCTCTAATTTTCTTTTATGATTTATCCGGACTTTAAGTTGTTGTTTGATAAATGCGTTCTACACCTGTTTAATGAGTGCTTTCCAGACCTGCAGCAGATTTCATCTTGTCCATTATTTACATCCATTTATCAGCTCTGTATGTTGTTGTATAATCGTGATTGCCGAAGAGCTTTCTCAAAGGATCATAAATTCTGGATTGCGCCGTAAGTATTTGTTTTAAAAATTCTGATATCAGAGAAGATTCATTTTTTTTTACTTTTTTTAAAAGTGTAATCATTTTCTTTGAGGGATGTCAAAAGTTCAGTCATAATGAATGAATTCGAAAAGAAAACTGAACGTGCTCTTTTTCTGATGTCTCATATGAGCCATGTAGTTGCCTTGTATGATCGAATAGTTTTGTTCAGGTGTGTGTGTATAGTTTTTTTCTTTTTTCGTTTCAGTTTTGTATTAATTTCTGTTTTGCAAACAATTTTAACTCATAGTCAAATGTTTGAAAAACTTGTTACTATTTCTTGAATTGTAATGAGGGAATTATACCGAAAATTTGTAGAACAAGTTATGTAAATATTGAAAAATGCTAGCTCTTTGAATAGTTGGCGTTACGAATATATCTTTCAAAAATTATTGCTAAACCATTATTGCAAAATTTGATGCGCAGAATGTTCGGGTCTTGCTAACAGAAAATTATTTTCCCCTTATAGATTAAACAATTTTATATAATCAAAAGCATGTAAATTTTACTTGCTTTAGGAAGTATGTTGCATCAGAAAAAGAAAGTATGGAAGGCACTCCAAGTACGATGATAACAGTAGGGAGAAACAGACTACTTGATGACGGTTATCGTCAGTTATCATTGTTGTCACCTACTGCTCTAAAAGCAACCATTCGTGTAAAGTTCATCAATCAGCAGGTTTGTTATAGACTTTATCATTGTAACATACTTTTCAGTTCTTTATTTTTTCAAAATCTTTGGTTATTTTATTTTTTCAGGGATTAGATGAAGCGGGCATTGATCAGGATGGAGTATTTAAAGAATTTCTGGAACTAACACTGAAACATGTTTTCAATCCTGATCTCAATCTTTTCAAGGTTACATTTATCCATACTTCTTTCGTATTTATCGATATTGTTAGAGGTTTTATCTCCAAATTGAAATTCTTGACTTTTTCAGTGTTCACAAAATGGGCAACTTTTTCCCTCACCAACATCAGATTTGCATGAGAACCATCTGGCCCTTTTCCAGTTTGTTGGTCGTATGTTAGCCAAAGCTGTCTATGAGGTCTGCTTTTACGCATAGCAAACAATAATAAAATAGTTTATATTTTAGATAGTCATATGCTCAGTATACTTTAATTTTACAGTGTAAATCTTGTAAAAATGTTGTATTTGAGGGTATCGTTACTGAAGTGCATTTTGCACCCGTATTGTTAGCAACTGTACTGGGTCGTAAATTGTGTGCATTTGATGAGTTGTCACAGCTGGATCCGGATCTTTACAAAAGTCTTACTTATGTGAAACATTTTTCGGATTCGGATGTTGCTGATTTGTCACTAACTTTCTCAATTGATGAAGATATACTGGGACATGTACGGACCATTGATTTGGTTCCAGGAGGTCACGCAATGCATGTTACGGATGAAAACAAGTAAGTTACACTTAAATTTTTAAATTTGTTAGTTTTTTAAGTTTTCAACTTGTAATTCTTTAATGTATGGTTTCAAATTATAAAATATTTGCATTCGTTTTTGCACGTTTATACGGTCTGTTTAACCTTTTTTTATTATCTAGGATAGCTTATGTGCACAAAATGGCACAATATCGCGTTTTCAATCAAACAAAAGAGCAATGTCATGCTTTTGTATCAGGATTTCTCTCAGTGTTGAATGGCAGTTGGCTTTCATTGTTTGCTCCTCACGAACTTCAGTATCTGATTTCAGGACAGTCGACGTAAGTAGTAATTATTAAACAAAAAAATAATTTTAGTAGTATGAAATTATTAAAAATGATTTTACTGTCATCAATAACGTCTAATAGATGTTTTTCTTAATGTAAATCGTTGTCAGGGCGATTCGTGACGTCTACAAAAATTTCTGATAGCTTTTGCAACTATAAAGTTATTTCAAATGATAAGTCTTCCTTTTTTTACTTAGTGATATTGACTTACACGATCTTCGCAAGCACGTGCAATATTACGGAGGTTTTCACAATAATCATCGAGTTATTAAATGGCTTTGGCAAGTATTGGAAAATGATTTTACTGCTGAAGAGCGTCGTCTGTTTTTGAAAGTTTGTTTATATTAAATTTCTGTTAAAAATTTTATTATACAGATTTTGACAGAGTTCTGAAACTCGAACAGACATGCATCATGTAAAGTTTACTGCTTCTGCTAAAGTATTTTCCCTTGTAGAATTTTTATATCTTACAAATTAAGCTGTACCAGTATGATTTGCGAAACGAGAAGAAAAATATCAACTTGTAGTACTTCAGTAAATATTTCATCATGTATGATTTCTAATTCAATTATTAAAGTTCGTGACAAGCTGTTCTCGAGCACCGCTTCTGGGTTTTGCGTATCTCGAGCCTCCTTTTTCCATTCGTTGTGTTGAAGTATCTGATGACCAGGTAAATACTTTGCTCTTTATCAATAAATTAACTGCGATTTAACAGAAATATTTACCTTTTGAATTGAAGGTTCATTTGAACTTTAGTTCAGAGGCTAAATATTTCTATTGAATGACATTTTTAAGCTTTTTATCAGTTTTTAGGATCAAGGAGACACTTTAGCAAGTGTTGTACGCGGCTTTTTGGCTATTAAGCGACGTCAGTCACCTTCACGACTACCCACAGCCTCTACCTGTTTTAACCTCCTGAAATTGCCAAATTATGGCAAAAAGTCAGTTCTGTTGCAGAAATTGAGATATGCTGTGCATTCGGAAACTGGCTTTGAACTTAGTTAAATTTGGATAATTGTTTTGAATTTTTTGGGTTTTCTTGTTGTTTTTGATAACTGTCTTAGGCTTCATTAGTTCTTTCTTCCTGTATGATATTTTGTTTCATGGTCATTAATAATTTGGATCAATAATACGTCATCGCAATATCTCTTATTTTCTGCTGAGATGTGAAATGATTTAAAATAATGATCATTTTTCATTGCCTTGCTAATTTGCAAAATTAATTTCCTTTGTAATTTATGTTTAAACAGTTGGAATTTAATAGAATATTTTTGCTTTGGTGCATGATTTTTACACTTCCAAAGTCGAAATGTTGGCTAGAAGTTATAAATTTCCTTGTTATCATTGTATTAATATGAAAATATAAATAACTTAGCAGATTTTTTTTTTTGAATACGTCGGATTAATTCCATATTTTGCTATTACATTCCAGTTTACTTTTCCCTTTAAAACTTAAATACCTTTTACATTTTAAGCAATTTATGATTACTTTTCTATCTTGTCGTAGTAAATATGCTACTGTAGATATTGCATTTTTATATATGATAAATCAAGTACAATTAAAAAAGAGGAGCTTATGTATGTGATGATTCAGTCACTTTGCGTTTGATACACTGTCTGTATATATCTACTTAATTTTTGTTTTATGGATCGTACCATATGATACATTCTATGTTTATGGATCGCACTGATATTGCATTATTTTTTTTTCTGAAATCGAATGTGATAATCACTATGTAAAAACATAAGTAGATCTTCAGTGAAGACTTCATTGTTCATCGGATGTTTTTATTTTATACAAACACAATAAATACTATATACCGATTATTTTCTTATATATTATATATATGAATTGTTGCTACTGTCAAACTTTATATATGCCTTAGTTTGTCACCTCACTGAAATTCCGAGTGTTCTGTTAGTGGTTTTGATAAAATCATTTGCTCTTTCCCTTCCTGTTTTTTAATTATGATCTTGGGAGAGACAAGTCTTTGAAAATGTACGAATAAAGTTCGAGTAAAAAAATGCTGTTGAAGTGCCGTCAATGATAGAATTGGAAGAAATGATCAATGCGAATAATGAAAAAGATGTTCTAAATGATAATAATGTGGAAGTAATTCGACGTATTTTGGATGAGATGATTGAAAGGTACTTTTTGTACTCGTCTTCATTCGAAATGTTTGGAAATAATTTTAAAATTATTCATCCAATTTCATAGCATATTTTAACATTTTTCTGCATTTTTTTTATTAAAATACTCTCAGTTTCTTTGTTTCTCTCGTATAAATTGGAGTTTTTCAAAGTTTTCTAGATTTTTAAATTTTTTGCTTTTTTATTGTTTACAAAATTTCTTTCAGCCGTCTAAAAGTAGTCAGTCAACAGGAGAGTGTTTGCATTTCTAATTCCGAATGCTGGAAGGAAACGGGGATAAGATTACTAAACAACAGCACATCCCGTATTTTTGATAGCGGAATCAATGAATTGAAAGAAGGTCCACCAAAAAAGCGAAGGAAAGGTTCATCTGATATAAAGTTAGTGATCATTTTATGTTCTATATTTTTATGACTTGAATTCTCTTGCTAATTAAAATTTTCATTGAATGTGATTTGTACGCAATTATTTAGCTAAAAGATTGTCCGGTAAAATGCTAAAGATTGGTTTGTGCGTAATCAATACTATGCATCTTTAAGAATTTTTTAAATCCTTTGATTCTCTTCATTATTTAGCTGTGACTGGAATGATGAACGTGCAAAAATACGGACCGTTGCTGTTGATGCTGATTTTATTCAAAAATTCAGTTAACTTCCTCAGGTTGCTGTATAATCCTTTTAGATATTTAATTTTTTATAAACTTCCATTCTTATCGCTCACCAGTCTGTGAAAAAAATTCAGCTCAGAGAGTTACGCATGTTTCCACAATGTTATGTAGCGAAATTCTCTGCCTGCAACAACGATGTGATGCATTTAATAAAATCATAAATAGGAAAAAATCAATAATCTGTTTTTGGAAAAAAATTGAATTTTTTTGGCAAGTTCATAACACTCCGTATGAACTGGGAATGATTTTTTATATATGAAGCTAGCCATTTTCAATTAACTTTTCGAATATTAACTCTGAACTTTTTGAAGCAGATGTGCAAATCCGATGTGCGTCAAATCGGATCCGATCAAATCCGATGCAAATCTGATATTTTGATTTTTTTTAGTTGGAAATTTGTATGTTTCCCGAATTTCTCTTCAGAAGAAATTTTGTTTCATAGTAAAAGTCTAAATTTCACATGAATATTACTGATATGCATCAGTTGACGAATATAGTGCCAAAATCGACATATTCAGAAATTTGTGGAATCACATCTAATACTTGATTTTGAATGTATAAATCATTTGCTTTATGTTGAAAGTCATAATGAACTGGAGACTGAACGAACGTTTACGATCGCTGAAGTCTCATCATATTCATCCTTCGAAATTGTTTCATTTCCAATTCTAATGGTCCTGTCATATTTCCAAAACAAGAAAAAAATAATACCGAAATTCTATTTAAAAGAACAAAATATTTACAGATACTCTAACGCAACGATAAAAAGTCAAATATCATGTCAAACTTTCACAACTCAATGAACAGCAAATGGATTTACAGAAGCTTTAACGCAACAATGAAAAGTCAAGTATCATGTCAAACTTTCACAAATTAAACCAAATTCAAACCTTACAAATCAATAGCGAACTGATACTGTCTTTCAACTAGAAATCGAACAAACGGTCGTTTTTGTCTATCTCATTCTTGTCTTTATTTTCATTACGCATATTATTGAAATTCAATTCGAAACCTGCATTAACATGATATTATTAATTATTATTAGACGATTATTAATTAGAGTATGTAAATTGATGATAAATAGAACTTCTACCTCCCCAAATGCACTATTAATTAATCAAAGTTCAACCTCATAAAAAATTCTCATTCAACTATTAAAAATTCAACAAGTATATTCTCTTCTTACATTGCTTGAATTCAATTTCACTTCAATTTTGCAACACTAAAATAGCATGAGTTCTTAACTAATAAAATATATGATAAAGTTTATACAAGTTTTGTATTTTTGATCGTTAGCACAGTGCAATAATTTATTAACTTTTTATTACAACTTTTTTGATATTAAAGTTAATTGAATAGCTTTTGTTATATGAATTAGAATTAGTAGGATTGTAATGAATGATTCAATGAGACTGTTCCTATCATTTGAAAATATCAAATTTTTAGTTACAATTTTTCTCGTTATTTCTCCGAGATCTATTCATTCCTGCTATTATATCATCCCCATTTCAAATTATTATTTGAAGTCAAACACTTCATTTCTCAAAACACTTTTCTTACCGTTTCTTGTGAATAGGTCATTCTCCATTCATGTGGTCATTTTATTCATGTACCCATCCCATTTCTCTATTGTATCGCTATTTTGTATTCAAAATACTCCCTCTGAAAGGGTTTTTTTTCCTCGTAAACCTAATAATGATGTAAAGAACATTTCATGACATAGGTCATCTGTTCAAATGAATTGATTGAGAAGAAATTGCAATTGCAAATCATTTAAACGATACCTTTTTTTTTTAATAGAACACGCATTATTAGAATATAGTTTTCAGATTATTTTCACTTCCAATTTTCAACTGTCAGTATGCTTCGATCATTAAATATCAATGAAAATTATAACCAGCTATATAAGGTAGTGTATTTTTGTACTTTAGTTGACTTTTTGGTTTAATCAATTTTGATAATTTCCTTTAAACAAAGAAGATATATTTAAAACAGGCAATTAAACCGATGATATAATATGATTTAATAATTAAACACTGTTTGAATAATTAAACGAAAACAAATAGCACTGACTTTATGCTAAAAATATTAATAAGTGTTTCTGGAATTTATTTGAATAAAAAATATGATTTTGGAAAACAATGACTGCGAGCAATTTTGTAGAAAATTAAGGAACCAAAAGGTGATGCAAGCTTAGTGACCATTAATTATTCAAACAGTAGCAATGACAGGTATAATAAGAATATTGAAAAGATAACTGCGAAATGTTTTGTTATGCATAAATTTGGAATACATAAGTTTTAAATGCATAAGTTTAAGAAATTAAGTTAATTATGTATGTACCACCAAAATATTTTAATTTTTTGAAATAATTGAATACATTTTCAACTTTTATAATTATAAACTTCTAAAACAATAAGAATTTTAATGAATGAAACAAATTTTCTATTGAATATAATGAAAGAAATTGTCTTTGCATGGCCATCAGCTTCCTTTTCTACCAATCACAGTACTGGCGAATTAAATATTTAATAAATTAGAGCAAGCTTAATATTAAAAGTATTGTCTAATTTTGATTTTGAGAGTGAAATGAAAAAAGACTGCTAGTTAAGGATCCGAAAGTTCCAAAAAAATTTTGAAAGATAAAGACTTTATTATCACTACTACAGAAGGAATTAAGCTTATTTAGCAAAGTAGATCACATTAAGAGTTAATTTCTGATTCGTAATTGTAGTAAAGCAAGCAATAATAAAGACGATAAAAACTTGAAATGAATCTAACCGTATTGTCAACGGAAGTTGAGTTCTTTCGTGAATGTTTTTAGTTTAATTATTTGAAATGGAGAAAATAATTGCTTTTTCAATTAGGTAACATTTTTTTTTCCGGTCATCCTTTCGACTAATATTTAAGGAGCTATTTGAAAACAGTTTGGGCAGAATATAATAAATTGACATTGAACTCGCGATAGGACGTTAATAAATAATCGACGACCAATATTTTCACTCTTATAAATTGAGGTATTTCACTCCTAAAAAATTGTAATTTTTCCATATTGGATATAGCACAGTTTCAATATTCTAATTAACAGTTACTTGAATTCAATATTTGGTAACAATTTCGAAAAAAGATTTCCATTTTCAAACTTTATTTAAAGTCTGAAAATAGGAACTCATGTCAACAACAAACAATTTTTATTTGCATTTAATTGAATTTTAAATTTTAATTATTTGGATTGATTGAAATTAAATTCGCTTTCATCTTATGTCAGTTTTCTTTTAATAATAACAAGACAAAATTTTTTAATTCTTAAAGCATTCCTTATCTTAATTGTATTATCCTTTTAAAATATTCACGTGTATCGCTGATCACTTAATAAAATTTACTCATTCATTTCGAGAATCAATCGCATTTCTGGATTTTTAATTTGGTTCTGATAAATTTAGTACGAATTCGCCATAACTTTTCATTCATTCAATGAGTATTAAAAATTTTACAACGACTGTTGTTATATTTTAAGCAATTCTTTTTTCATTTCCGATAATCGTCGTAATCTATTTTTGATATTACTATCAAAATTCCGCTGCTAATATTTTAAGAATTTATTTACAAAACGATAAACTTGACCTTGAAATATAATAGAAACTGTTCTTTTTTCTGTCCTTCAATTAATGACTTTCCTGTTTTTTTTTGATTCACAGTCTACTCTGTCACCTTCTTGCTATAATTTTTTCTTGAATTTTTTTCCTCACACATTGTCCTATTTCTGCATAATATAAAGTAATGAATATTCTAGTAAATAAGTTGTGTGAATTTTTTCAGTCCGATCTGAAATGAGACAAAATTTTTTAATTTACAAAATTTAATTTATATTTATATGCACTAACTGATAGGTGTAACAATGGGAAAACTAATGAAAATTCAAAATATAACTTCTGAATTGAAATGAATATTTCAAAATGAAAGAAGAATGTGTTAGGTAAAGCAAAATGGAAAGACACATATTTGGCGTTGTTACAGTACTAAAAAAGATAATTTAAAATTCAAAGGATAGCTTTATATTTTTATCACTCATCATAATATCAGTGACGTTGGTTGGTGGCAACGATAAAGGCATGCTAAGAGTGAATTTATGATGATAGCAATAGTGATAAGAATTTTTATAGATACTACAAAAATATACATTGATTAAATTTCGTTCATTTAATTATATCGTTGATAACAAACAGATGGATAGATAAACAGATTGGGAAGATTGATGAGCAAGATAGATATTCGTAGGTAATCAAATGACTGAACGGTATAGGTAAAATGACGGTATGGGTAAAAATCATTTGTGATATACATATATGTGTATGTATTTATCTCTATAATGATTATTGATAGCAAAATGTAGTCGTTATGATTTGACTAATCTTTTTTAAAATGTCTCGTCACAAATTAACCAACAATTAAAATCTTTTTTTTTTTTTCATTTGCTAACTCGTTTTTTTTTTCTGTTCTCTCTCTCCCTCTCCACAGAACTGTCCATTTTTATTTGCTATAGCGGTGGGGATTATTTACAATTGTAAAGAGAAGCACGATTTCAGATTTGACTAAAATTTGTGGTTCGTCAATTTACCCTTCCATTTTCATCCCTTTTTCTTCTCCTCAAAACTTCCTCATTTTTAATATAATCTATCAATCAATCTATCAATTAATTGTATTTTAATTAGTTTTTCTTTTCCTGTTTATTGTTATACAAATGAAAAAAAAATGTAGCAAAATGATAATAATAATTTTATTGCTTGCCAGGTAATTTACTTATTTTTTCTCAAACTAATTACAAAAGTACCTATGAATGATTAAGTCTGATCAGTTATTAATCTATTTAATGTTTAATGTTAAGATATTATCAAATGATATTAGTGTAATTGCAATTACCACGTTCATTTATTGTATACAATTTGGTATATGTTATATTAATGATAATGATAATAGTGTTAAG